ACATCATCTTTTCTTTTCTTTTTTTTCCCGTCCAGCGCAAACACATTCAAATAACTATATGGGCTTATGTTTGACCCCAAATCATTGATGGGAACACAGTAAACATAATCGGCGCCAAGACCGGTTCGTGGGGTACTCCGTTAGTTACTCGTCTCCATGTAGAGTGCTTCCTTCTAATTACGGTTAACGCAACTAGCCTATGCTTGAGGGTTTTGTTTGTCGCCGCTCTTATATAAATATGTTACGTTGGCGAGTTCCCAAGCTTTTCATACTTTTCCTTGTCTCACTGAACTTTGGAATATTAAAATGAAGGAGTACATAATGCTTCGGCACATTCCGTGAGAACCCACGGAATTTTAGTAGGTCTGTTATTTCATTCTTTTTCAGGATAATTTTTTCGATATTCTGATTAACGTATGAACGGTTATTTGCCATTTAAAGATATGTGTCCTGAACAAACACAGACTGAAATTTCTCAATAACGGTTTCATACAATTCCTCCTCCTTAATATAAACTAATAATGGTACTAATTTACTTCTAGTCATACTATTTATGTAGATAAAGAAGAGCTTGGGTTGATTTGTACATTTATTGACTATAACCTTCCCAAATTCTAATTTCATCTCATTTCATATTCATTTCTAATTGAATATACTCATTTCTTCCTACTTTATACCTTTCCTAAACTGCCAGAGATCTGTCTTCTAAAGGAGTTACTTGTCTTCTCTCATTTTCTTGCATCTATCATTGAACTACCTGAGGTCATTTCTTGATATAACTTTTTCTATAGACACAAAATTATAAATATATATCAAGGTTCCCTGTTTATGCTCTCAAAGAAATCTGTAAGGCTGTTACAATTACCTCTCTTTTAATTATACTTTCGTTTTCTTTCTTTACTTACGACAAGTTTCTCCCGTAGCAGAAAGTATTTTAGTTCATATACGATATGGTTTTTTTTTTCCTGGAGAAGTACATTTCTTTATATCCTTAATATCTTCTTTAAACTTTGTGAATATTAGGTCAAGCACAGCCCTCTTACCCTGGTATGATCTGTAACCGATGGCTCCGATGCTGCACTTCTTCCACTTCTTGAATCAGTTTTTGGAAATTTTCTTGTGACAACTACGATGTATGAGGCACGTACACTGGCTAGTATTATGTTTACCCCGTTTGTTTCTTCTTCAGTTGCCTTTAGTTTCTCTATGGGGTCTTGCTTAGTCTCAAACTTCTCCATGGCAATTCTTTTCTTTTTATGATATTGCTATTCCCCCTCCATTTCCATCTTTTCTCCAAATATCATAGTTTCTGAGTCATATTGTTACATCGCCTATAGAGGGATCCAGTTTGGATTCAGGGATGCATACCGTACCTGGTTTAGTTTCAACTATTGGATCTAGTTCTCGTAACTTCGAAGATAAACCATCTATAATTGTATAAACTAGTTTTTCCAGCCCTTTGTTCAGTTTTGTTCTTTACGTTTCCATTTTTTTTTCTGCTGGATTTCTTTATCTTTGTTCATATTTTTTCTTATCCAGATTTTCTTATATACTTTTTGAGTAGCCAAGACTTTCGCTTTCTTTATTACATCAGTTTTTATTTGCTTATTCATGAATGTCACTTTTAAAGGGTGGTTCTTTCCCGTTTCCCAAGCTCTTATAAGATATGATTTTATCCTCCGATAATTCGGGATTTGTGACCTTGAGAATACTGGCGATCAATTTCTTGACTTTGTTGTATCGTTTGATTCCACCTTCTACATTTTTTTCTTCACGTCCCAATGTGACTATAGCGTCTATAGGTCTATAGCGTCTCTGCAAGCTATGTCTTTGTTTCCCCTTTTGTGATCTTGATGCTTTTTTCTAACTATTTTTTTCATTTCATTTACGGTTTCCTTTATCTTCGATACATCTGTACATATTGCTGTCTTTTTTTTCAAACAGGCTGCTTGGCAAATTACTTTCAATCTGCTTAATATTTTTCTCTACTTTGATTATTTCTTCAACTTTTTCTTGTAGATTCTTTATGTCCTTAATTTACATGTCAGACTTCTCAGCATTCCTTCTCTAAATCATTCACCAATTCAAATTTACACTTTCTTCATGGATTTTCAAACATTCTCCTACCAAGCTGTCTACCTTGGCGTGTGTGTGTGTGTGTGTGTGTGTGTGTGTGTGTGTGTGTGTGTGTGTGTGTGTGTGTGTGTGTGTGTGTGTGTGTGTGTGTGTGTGTGTGTGTTCTTATTATGTATATAGAATATATTCATGGGGTGTAAAAATAACAGGTTTGGTAGGGAAATATATGTGTGTATATATATATATATATATATATATATATATATATATATATATATATATATATGCATATATATATATATATATATATATATATATATATATATATATATATATATACATATATATACATATGCATATATATATATATATATATATATATATATATATATATATATATATATATATATATATATATATATAT